TCTATGCTCTCATAACGATTGAGGTTTACTTTGAGTAGAGCGCATGTATAAGAGGAGAGCCGGTTTATTCTGCTAGCGAAGCTATAATCTGAATGAGAATATCTCAGCGAGAATATGTACTGAATCTCTGCAGAATCCGTATTGATTGAAGCACAGATTTCAAGGCCTGTGATATTTTCCAAGGTAATACGACTTTATAGTTAGTCAATAGACAAGAGAAAATCTTGTTATGGTATGAATTTCGAAGATTTATCACTTTCGAATAGTGTGATAAGTTTTTGCCATCATTATTCTGCGAGCAGGTGGGGGGATAGGCCCTACAGGAAATGAGTGTCATTGAATTCATCAATCACTATAACCAAGAAGTGATGCTATAGAAAATATTTGCTGACAGAAAATAATTCATAATATCCTTGGCGAGTACTGGGACAAAATTTCTAAGGAATGGGAATGTTTGACCCAATTTTGAACACTCCGAAAATGTATTTGAACATGAAAAAGGCTCATGAACTCCGCATGCAAACTTCCCAGAAGTTCTCGGAATGGAAGTGAAAGTCCTACATGTTCCAGATTTAGAAGCAGTCACCCCAATTTTCCTACATACTACATCAAGCATTCGCACGCGCGATTTTATGAGGCATCTTTCGATTAGGCCTGATGTGACACGATTTATGTGCCAGTAGCACTCTTTCCTAAACGCGTGCAAAATATCAGGCTCACATGCCGCTCTAAAAGCGATGAGTTGCATCAACGAACAGAGATTGCAGACCCTGATCGCGAGCATGCTGAACGTGATGTGGTGTGCACGTTGGTATAACTCTTTTGATGTGCTCCACCGTGAAATGGGCATGCATCTCTCCAGTCCAGTTGTTCTGACATCTGGAAGTATTTTGAACCTCATGCGTCGTGCCACTCCCCCTCCCCTCTATTCCTCTGAGCCCCCCTTTGACGAAACCTTGGGTATACGCCACTGCCATCAACATCCCTCTTCTGCTGTTTTTGAGCATTTAAAGTAGCACAATTCGTGCAGTGAGTCAGAAAGAGATGTACCGAGTGCCCTAGCCCCATCATCGTAGAATTGTTCTGACATCAATCGAATAAATGTTAAAACTGACTACTTGTACATGCATGTACGTTCGGCGGTATGACAAGGGGGCCAATATCGAGCGTCAAAATTTTCAGGTGCGCAAGTCTTCCCTGCCCCCACCCCTTTTTTTTAAATAGCTGAATGACGATTGAATTTTCGACCATGCATTAGGACGCTGAGTCTCAGTTCCCTTATGGGAGAGGTAGCATTAATCAATTATTGCACTTTCGTCCGTAAATAAGGTAAATTGCTATTTTTTAAATAGCTGAATGACGATTGAATTTTCGACCATGCATTAGGACGCTGAGTCTCAGTTCCCTTATGGGAGAGGTAGCATTAATCAATTATTGCACTTTCGTCCGTAAATAAGGTAAATTGCTGGTCTTCTAGAAATTTTCAAAGTTATATTCATTTTTTTTTGTTAGCTTATCAACAATGGGTGAAGTCTTATTTTATAATAACAAAAGACTTCTCCCGTCCTTTTATCACAGAGGAACCAGAGACTATTCTTCCAGCAGACAAGAATCCTGGGCTCAGTGGGTCCATCCTCACGGAAGAACTATCAGAGGCTGCTACAGAAGAAATTTTCCTATCTGGGGAAACAGCCGAAGAAACAAGTACTTACTAAATTATATATTCGTCCATAACGCATCCTCATTTTAGCTGACTTTTAGAAGACACTCCAGCGCCGTTACTTGAGCGTTAAGGAATTGTAGAATGCCCATTTGGAGCCATTAATAGTCACAATTGTGACAAGGGTGATTACAGGCAAAATGCAATGCTTCAATTCCTATTATAACAATGTAAAATTATACCGATCATAATGAAAATTTAATGAATCCCGCCGTTATTTTCAAATATTGCTCTAAAGCGCATGGCTTGTAGCCACTGCAATGTATGCTAATTGTTCTCGTTAGGCACAGCGATAACAATTTTGTGCATTCTACGCAGTATGTGCTGGAGGTGTTCCTGCCAAAAAACAAAAAAAAACCCCACCGAGGAAGAAAAAAACGAGGAGAGCCGCAAAGGCAGCCATAAGCAGATGGACTGTGACAGCAGTTCATGCTGCAAATGATGCAGGTATGTGTTTGCTTGATTTTTGCTCGGCAGAATTTGTTTTGTCATTATTGAAAGGATTTCGTCTATATCATAGATCAACCGACAACGACAGCCATCAAGAGCAGCTCCTCAAACAGCGCTTCTGAAGAATCGGAATCTTCATCAGTCGGTATGCTTCAGCTTCCTTCGAATATCACCATCACAGAGTCGCTGCCAACTGAGATGGACATGTCTAAATTTGTTTCCTGTCTCTCTGTTCTTCCTTACCAGATGAGGGAGTAATAACAGGAAATCTTCCTCGTGAATTTTTCCTTACGGACACAGAAGCGCTGAAGAGGTTTTTGGCTGTTCATCCACCGATCTGCAACATTGTAACTGCAAATTCAATCTGTCGAGGCAAGTTGCAAAAGCGAGGGCAACTCGATGAGCCTCAGATTTTCTGATAGTTGTTGGCACAGCTGGCATTTTTTATTCGGAGAAATAAATTTTCAGAAAAAATTTAGA